CGTTTCCGAAGACTATAATTGTTTACTGTAGAAAACTGCACCTGTTATTAGCATGTTTTTTGGCGAGAATTGTACTTATTTACCTGAAGTTATAAACTATATTTGTCATAGGTCAACTTTTCTCACTCACCTTGAGGTAATTAACATGATGACCACTGATCTTTTTATAATTAACCTTAGTAGTATATAAACAATGTGAATTATGTTACTAAGTTAGGGGAAAATGTCTTTTAGGCCTTTCTTCTTAACAAGGTTTATAAGTTTTAAAAATATTCTTAATAGAAGTCACCTTTTCAAAACCAATACAAAAACTCTTGGGTAGATCAAAGGCTTGGAGTTGGGAATGATCATATTTTTTTCACCTAATTGCGAGTCTGACTAGAGCAGCCAACAGGCATTGGGAAAGTGAGTGAGAGTGACCAAGGCTGGCCGCGTGAGTGTTTATAGTTAGCACAGTATGGAGGCAAGAGTATGGGTTTTAGAGCCAAACAGAAGTCATTTGTATCCTGGTAGACAGATTGCATCCCAATGAATGGCTTTCCTGGACTCAGCTCAGTGCACTGACTTTGTAACGCTTCCCATCCCTTGACACCTGGCCCGTCTTGTGACTTGCTTTCCTACAGAATATGGAGGAAGAGACAGTGCTCCAGTTTTCAGCCCAGGTCTCAAAAAGCCTTTTGCTTCTCTCTTTCTTTCTCTGAATCTTGCTTCTACCAAAAGAATAAGCCTGAACTAGCCTGCTGAAATCTGAGTAGCCACATGGAGAAGAGGCCAGTTGTCCCAGTTGCGGCTAGGCTAGGCAAACACACAGTCAGCCAACTCCCAAACATGTTGGAAAAGATCAGAAGAACTGTCTGCTTCATACTTGACCTGTATGTAGTCTTCTGAGCAATAATAAATGCTTACTGTTTTAAGGTACTGAGTTTTGGAGTGGTTTTGCTTTGTAGCAATTGCTAAAAATATACCTAGTTCAACTAGTTATTAGCTGTGTAACCTGCCCTGAAAATTAGGAGGTGATTTATAGTAGCTAGCTTGATTTTTAGGTAACTTGGCTTTGAAGCTTCGTCACAGAGGTATGGGTATGCACAAACACATAGTCAAGTTTCACACTAGATCATGTCTTAGTAGGCTGAAGGTGAATAACGTTGTCAGCCTCACAGACCTTTACAGTGTGCCAAAGGATCATCAGTTATATCTCCACTTATCTCCTGCATCTGAAATGGATGATACATATTTTTCACTCAACATGTATTGAGCATTTGCTATATGCAAGGACATATGCTCTGCTAGGTATACAAAATTGAAGACAGCGTGCCTGCCCCAAAGGCACAGGGAGTGTATATGGCTGCAGTAGAGTGAGAGAGCATAAGAAGTGGACAAGTAAATTAGATTGAGAGTTCAGAAAAGTGTTATTGGCCATGGGAGCAGGGTAGGGGACTTATCCTGACTTGTCTTGACTCTAGCAGGAAAAATGAGAATTGGCCAGATGGAGAAGGGAGAGTCAGAAGTTTCTTGGCAAAGGGAGGAATATGGGAAAGGTTTAGAGGTGTTCAAGAGGGGGCAGCTCCAATAGTGGCTGAGGAGAGAATAGCTTTAGTCCCAAGACCTCCATCAGTCCTGTCCAAGCCACACACAACAAACATATAATCTAAGAAAAAAACTCTACAGAGTTTCAAATCTACTCCCTCATTCCAAACTCCAATCTGACCATTGACCCTAAGGTCTGGAAGGGCCACTCTGGGAATGATTCTTGCATAGTGGAAGTTTGGTATGAAAGGAGGAGAGGGAGCAATGAAGTTTATGCCACGCTGAGTATCTCCATCATGGCTGTACTTGATTTCTCCAATGTTTCTTCATCTCCTGCCTGAAGCTGTTGGTGTAGATAGAGTAAGCTGCGGCTATAGCCGAGGTTTATGCCAGGTGAGGAAGCAAATACCCATCCTGGGCTCTCCCTGGCCATGTCCACCCTGAGGATTTGGGTATGCTGATGTCAGAGATCATGCCCACGGTGTTCATTTCTGTTTCTCCACCACCCACTGGGTGCCTGCACGTAATAGATGAACGCTCTTTACTTTTTGAGTGAATGAATTCATGGATAAGTGAGTAACTGTGGATATTGGTGAGTACATACTGTTTTATTTATTATTACAGAAAGAATGAATGTTTTGCTCAATGTTACCCACTGAAAATAAATTTGAACAGCAGGTCAATGACATCACGAGTAATTGCCCATTGCTGTATCATGGCTACGATCCAATTTTTAGAGAAATAAGCATATACATTATCAAAGTATAATTACACCTGACATTAAGTGGCTTCCCTGCAGATTCCTTCCCGACAACAGACAAGTGAAAGTCCATAATACAGCAAGAGTGTCTCACCTTTCCATTTCTGAGGGCTGTTCCTCCCAGCTCAAGCATGACATTTGCTTAAAAGATGAAATCAGCCCCATTCCAAATAAACAACATCTGGACAGCTCTTCAAGGATGAACATTTTATTGGAATATAGGCACTTGGCAGAGTAAATACATGGTTACAAAGTGTCTTAAGTTTATTTGCTTTATATAGTGACCAGAAAAATCAACCCACAGTGTACACTTCTTCAAGTTGCAGACTTCAGAAGACAAATCCCCAAACCCCTCTGTTTAGAAAGTAAGAAGGCAAATATTTACGGTGAAGTAAGAAAGCACCTAATAAAACTGTATTATTGTTTAAGTCAGTGATGTCCTTCCCTCCCCCATATTAAATCTGCTACACAGCACAGATCGCTTATCACTTTTTATAATGAATTAAAATCACTTTTGTCTGAGAGAATCATGAAACCCTTTAAAATCACTGGCTCTGATTTGGAGAATTAGAAAACAAAACCTGAGAATCTTTATAATAAAATGTTTAATGTCAGACCTAAAGATCTACAGTTCTTCACACTCAGCCTCTTTATAAAACTTTTGGACAAGTTCAAATATTATCCTTGTAGTCTCCAAAATACTTTAAAAAAAAAAAAGATTTTACTCTGCATAATGCAAGGCACTACTGTCTTTGTTCCAACCTACAAAGGAAAAAAATGAGAAGAAAAAAATTTTTTCCAAGAAAAATATCAGCCTCTTTATAAAACTTTTGGACAAGTTCAAATATTATCCTTGTAGTCTCCAAAATACTTAAAAAAAAAAAAAATTTTACTCTGCATAATGCAAGGCACTACTGTCTTTGTTCCAACCTACAAAGGAAAAAAATGAGAAGAAAAAAATTTTTTCCAAGAAAAATATTTTCTTTGGGCAGGGTCAATAGTAACATAACTAGTTTAAAGTCATGGAGTTTTTTGCCAAAAACCATGTCTTGAGGTTTTATGGATTTCTAATGGCTTTGCCCAGAGTGGAGATGCCCAGAGCAGCATGGGGAGGCTCTTCACGTTGCTCATTCAGAGCACAATAACCTTGCTCCAATCTAGAAACCACACACAAGTCCACATGAAAAGCAAGACACACTCATGGCCATAGGAAGTCATTCCATTCAACCTGTTCAAATGAATACCAAATATTTTAAATGCATTTTAGTTTCCCGTCCCATGTTCAAATGGAACAATCGTCCTGTTTATTCAAGGGATCTTGTCTTTTGTAAAATATGTACAGAAAAATTCTTTGTGTCCTCAAGTACAACTTGCCACTTACTGCCCAGTCCCCTCTGGCCTCCAGGAAAGATAAAAGAAGGGCACTGATATTCATCAATCCAAAGCAGTGAAATGCACATTCTTTTAGGGTTAGGAAAATCTTAGCTTTCCATGGGGTGCAAGAAACCCTGAGGTGAGCAAAGGGAGGAAGCTGGGAAGCTCTGGCCTGGGGTGAGCCTGGGCAGGGACTCCAGGTTAGCCACTGTTCTCCCAGAGAGAAGGGCGGTCCTTATGGGGCTGTGCTCCTTTGGCTCCCTGCCTCACTGGGCAGTGCATCTGGCCATCTGGCCATTTGCCCCTTGGACTTTGGACTTTATTTAAGGGAAGACTCAACAAGGGCAGAAAGCCCAATTAAAAACATCTCCCTGCCTGACAGCAAGCCTCAAATAGCCCCAGCACAGCAGTGGGCTGGGTGTTCAGATCCCACCATTTCCTGAGCAGCTCGACACATGCCAGTTCCTGTGCTAGACACTGGGGATATTAAAACGACTTGAGGAGGCAGGAAGCCATTATTCAAGGCTGTGGGCTTCTAGCAGGAAGCACATATGATGACTAAACCCTAGTTTCTGTCCAGAGGAGCCCCTGGGAGAGACAGGAAGCAAACATAATTTCACAAACATAATATCCTAAATGCCAGGATACGAATGAGCATCGGGTGACACAGGGACTGAGGGAGAAGACGCCTCTCTTTCCTCTGTCTATGATGGGATCCCTGACAAACACGAGGATCTAAACACTCCAAGAATAGTTGAAACAATTCAATGTGAGAGTATACTGAAACTGATGATCATTAGTTCTTTATGATCTAGAAATCCAAGAAATTCCTCATAGGAGGGGTGGGGGGGGGACGATATTTTAATTCCTGGTTAAATGGTTGAACTGTGGGACAAATTCTCTAAAGAACTGATATATACTTACTTGACAGTAATGAGCAAAACAAGCTCTCAGGGCAAATGCTGGCATCTAATATTAAAACTTATGGGAAGAAATTTCAAAATGTAGTAAGCACCTGGGACTGAAGCGTCTATAAAATAATCTGATATATTTCTGAAGGACAATAGAACAAATCTTTTTTATCTTTTGCAAGTAAGTCCATTCCATCTTTAATATTAACAGTTTTAGGTCACAATCCATTTAGAAGACATATTTATGTCTATGTCTATTAAAGTGTAAGTTCCAGGAGGAAGGATCAGTCTTTTTCACGGGGGTATCCCCAGTGCTTGGTACAGAAGTGGGACTAAGTTAACATGCTGAACGATCAATCGAATTATTTTCACTTTTGGTAACATCTTTGGAACTTGAAGGTAGATTCAATGGCTTTTGTCTTTTGTCTTTATTCATTTATTTATTTATTCATTTTGTACGCTTCTGGGAATGAACCAGGACTCTTTGAACGGAAAAAGAGAAAGCTGTCATGTTTGAAAATCTACATTTTTTTCTTCTAAATTAAATTCCCTTGGACCTTCTAATTTATACTAGACAAAGTGCCTTATCTCTTCTTTTTATTACTATGCCCAACAGAGTTCATGGCATGCAGTAGCTGTTCAAATAATGTTTGTTTAAGGGTAGACTTTAAGCTAGACAATTTAGCTAAGCTCTTTGCACAGGCTAAGGCTCATTTGGAATATTTCTGGCTTATACATGCCAATGAAATTTTCCTGTCTTACCTGAATTTCCTTAAATGGTGATTAACTAATAAAAATCAACAAGACTAATTAACAAGAAATTGATAGCAAAATTAGTCACAGGCCCAGACAGTCCAACGAACCACAACCTTCCCCATCTCCATTTCTGCTCGGCTGCTCCTGAGATCTATCAGGCATGATCAGCTCTGTGGGGCTGCACACAGTGGGATCACTGGTGTTTATGACCTACCCTTTCCTGAAGCCTGACTGGACAAATGCTGAGTCCTTACGAGACAGAGAAGTTGGTATAGTAGATGGTGGAGCTGGAGTTACAGTATACGTCTGCATTCTTACAAAAAATTTAAAAGCCTGAAAGTTCGTAAGAAGATTGCACCAGTGAAATGTGCAGAGCATATTGAAAACTGTGCTCCTACTGTGTTCTCAGTCTTCACTGCAATACCACTCCCTCCCTCGGACACCCTCAGCTACCTGTCACCCAAACACACCACTGCCTTATAGTTCCTGTTAATGCTAAAGCAGTAATGCACGGTAGAACCGTCCAGTTCCACAAAGGTTTGCTTCAGTGCTCTCGCCCTGTGTGCATTTCCTCTGGGGTTGTTATTCAAATTAAGGATATTCTTATTATTTATTTATTTTTGATAACAACTCACGTGCAACCCCTAAGTGTACCTATAACTATAACCTTTTGACTGACTTTGTGCAAGGCAACTTTTGCCAACTTGCCCCTTTCACTCCTCTGAGGGCTGCTCTGGGGAACTCTCTTGACAATCTTCTCTCTCCTCCACATCATCTTTATGTGGAACCAGGACGTCGGTGCTTGGAGCATTCTCAACCACCCACTGGCACTCGTGAACACGGGCAGCCTTAGTCTGCCCTGAATCCACACTGGCCACAGCCTGGGCAGTGCTGCCTTGCCCTGCCATCATGTCTTGTTCCTCAGAAGCCTGGCTCTCGCTGGGGCAGACAGCATCAGAACTGGAAGAGCAATCTTCCTGCGGCACGGCCTCCCCCTGCCTGGCGCACGCGGCCTCTCCTCCTTCGTGGGCATCTGGTGTGGGCTCCCTGTCTGCGGGCTCCCTCCCTGCGGGCTCCCAGGCCTCTGCGGGCTCCTCTGTAGGGCCTGGACAGTTGGCGACCTCGGTGGGCCCTCCAGAGGCTGGCTGAGAGGCAGGGCTGCTCGCCTCTGGAAAGCCCCCCAAGCCCACCCCAGGGGCCTCGGCCCCCACAGGGGCAGGAGGGGCCTCCCTCTCGCTGACGTCACTTTCCTCACGGTTGTCTGGATGGGAGGCAGCTGCCTGACTGACCTCGGTGTCGATTTGGGTCTCTTCCTGTTTTTCATGTTCTTGGGGAACAAGGGTCTTCTCACCGGTATCTTTTTCGGTCGGCAGGGCAGACTCCACCGGTACTTCAACCGTCACTGTCAACAGCTTCCTGAGCTCCTTCAAGGAACCCGAGGCAGAGATGGAGTCTGGCTTCTCGTGGGAGGCTTCTGCATCCTCAGGGGTTCCTCCAAATTCCAGTTCTGGTGAGTGTGTGCCCAGGGGTCCTGCTGTGTCTTCTGCAGCAACAGGATTCACAACAGGATCATCTGTACTTGACATAGTCATCTGTCCATCCCCACCTGGGGGAGGGCTGGGCCCAGGGAGAGAAAGGCTTTCTCCTTTGGCCAGTGAACTCGGGACCCCAGGCTGCTTCTCCTCTGACTCCTGGAATACTTCGTTACTCGGGGTCTCACTATCTGGAACTCCTGGCAAAATGGCAGAGGCTCTCCTGGCGGGGCTGGCCTGGTTTGACCCTGTGGGGGTTTTTAGATCTGTTAAGCTGGACACACTCTCACTGGGCAAGGCCATGTTGTCTTCAAATAAGTTGTGTTTCTTCAGGATAGCAGCTTCCTTTATCACTGAGAGATATCAGAAAACAAAAGATGACATTAACATGCTGCCTTGGCCAACCTGGATTTTCTGATTTTATCCAGAAGCCAAACTCCCCTCTCAGCCTCTCTGGATATCCAAATTTCTCAATTTTTCTGCTTAGGTCAACCCTCTTCCAGGTAGCCTTCCCTGATGATCAAAGACCACAAACTTTCCAATCTCTGGACCTCTGCAGTGTTCATTCAAACAGCAAACATTTGCTGGGCATCTGTTACAGGACAGGCACTGGGAATCCAGAGATGAATAAAATACAACATTTGCTTTCAGGAAGCTCACAGTTTACAATAGTATCATCTGTGTCACTCACGGCCCCCCCGCCCCGTCACATTTATCAGCTGCTAATATGTCCACCTAGACTGAAACTCCTCTAGGGCAGGTGCTTTTTCATCCTGCATATTTAACAGGTACTCAGGATTGCAGATGAGAGAGCCTTGATGACTTGCAGTGTCCAAAGTGAAGACCTATGTACATCTAGCTCAGAGGCTTTGAGAGGAACAAAAACAGTAACAATAGTAACAACAGCAGCTGACCATATTTAACAGGTACTCAGGATTGCAGATGAGAGAGCCTTGATGACTTGCAGTGTCCAAAGCGAAGACCTATGTACATCTAGCTCAGAGGCTTTGAGAGGAACAAAAACAGTAACAATAGTAACAACAGCAGCTGACATTTTTTTTTTCCTTTTTGTCTTTTTTCGTGTCCGGCAACGGATCGCAACCTTCAGTGTCGCGCCCGTACCAGACCAGACCGGCAACGGGATCGCAACCCTCGGTGTCGCGCCCGCACCTCGCTCAGCCAGTGAGCGGGAACCGGTCTGCATGTGGGATCCGAACCCTTGGCAGGAGCGACGCTGCGCTCCCAA